CCTACAAAGTCAAGGTCACTCTTACAGTTTCGAGTGGAGGGTAAGGCTTAATAGAAAACACTAACCCATAACGCTTTCCTTTTTTTGTGCCAAGCTGTGCAGACTAAGGGATTCTTTTATCATTTCTCTCTGACCATAGCTTGCTGGGTGGTATAACGGGAAGGTAAATATCAGTTCTCCTTCATTTATTGCCAGTTGTGTAAATGAATGCAAATTATTCATAAGTATATGTTAATCTGTAAAATGTTTAGTGATGTTGTTGCGGAACTTCCTGTGACACTGATGTCCCCAAAGCCTGCAGGTGAGTTCTGTATTTTGTAAACTGCTAGTGCCAACTAAATTACCATTAAAATACTTCCTGAAATATCACTAAAATTAGACAGTAGCTTTCTGTAACTGATCTTACTGTCATCTATATGCCATGCTCTCCCCATTACTGCGTGCCGTTACTGTGTACTGAGCAGAAGTGTAAGTATAAAGTATAAAATAGTCTCTGTAAAAAGACGTGTATTCGCCTGTGGCAGTGATAATTGTATATGATGTTCATGTTTGTTTCTCATGAACAATTATGTGTTTTATGAACCACAGCGAATTGGATTAAATGCCTCTTTAGTTCAGGTGAGGTCAACTCAGATACAGTGAGTTATGCAGCGTTCACTCCTTCAAGGGTTACTGCCCCTCCTATAACATCCCTACACACTAAAATATTAAATGATGACATAAAACACATGTTAAAGAACTATTTGGATAGAAAATTGCATGAATTGCAAAAGCGCAGAAGTGATGGCCCTTGAACGAGTGTCCTGTTTTACCCTTCAATCCTGTGTGAAAAATGAAATTTGAATCCTCTTGCTCCACCCCCAAGATCAATAATTAAAAGATCTCCAGTAGACATTAATAGCAGCATGTATGCAGATTTTTGAAAGTTGGGCAATATCTGAAAGTGTATGAGTCTGAAAAATTGTTGAAAATGTTTTAAGTTAAATGAGATAACTGAGTGGTTGTAGAACGAGTACCCCGACTGAGGCTGGCACTTTCAGCAAAGCAAAGATGAGCGAGAGGGTTTACAATTCTGTAAAAGACTGTGTGAACAAAGAGTTCAACAATTAAAGAATAAATTTGTGTTTAACAGAACTACATAATGTTATCGAATGATTTAAAAGCCCTGAAAAATGTCTGTATACAAGAGACAAGGTCAAAAAGCATAATCTGTGCTTAGAAAAGGGACCGACCGGCTTGTTATTAGCACAGAGAAGAAGGGAAGGGTGCACGTATCATGTGTAATTTGCACATCTGTGATGGCATCACTAATGCTGGAATGTATATGTAGGTTTCATAGCAACATATCCATGGCTTCTAGTTCACATAAGATCTTGCTTATTTCCTAAAACAATACTAAAAATTAAGCACATACTCCAGGTGCTTAACTAGCTCGCAGTCTCGTTCTGTCACCAAGTGAAAATATTTGGAGTGTTATGAAATGAAAAAGACCCCAGACTGCAAAGAAGCTGAAGTCCTACATCAAACAAGAACTGGGAAACACTGTGCTCTCAAATTACACCAACTGTTCCCATCAGGCCTCCCAAATATTAACAGTGTCCCTAAACAAAAAAAAAGATGTGATCTAAAATAATGATGAAAATGCCCCTGCCACTCTCTCTCTCTCTACAAACACAAAACGTATCTAATTTTCAACATTTGATATGCTGTTTTTTAAATATAGTATTTAAATAACTTCCAAATCATTGCATTCATGTTGCAGCTTTTTTGGAAACTGGATTGTACAAAATTAGATGAGATATATTCCATAAGTTACCTTGAATAATGTTAGAGTCACAGTCCATTGTCTGTCCATTTTATCCACAGGTCAGATATCACATTTGACACCACGGATGGTTGAAGCAGCCAGTCAAGGAAAATCATCTGTCATGCAGAGAACACAGAACACAAAGGAACTCATTATCAGCAAAGAAAAGCACAAAATGCTCAAATTTCCCCTGTATATATTCAATTCTATTATAAATAACTATGAGAACTCAATTACTGAGGGTCAGAAGTCTGTGTGAAATTTCTGTGCGTGACATCATAGCACTAGAATCCAACAGATGTGTCCCACACATTATTTTTATGTCATTAGAAATTACTAGGGGTGGGGGAAAAATTGATACTGTGTAGTATGGTGATATTTTGTTTGCTAATAATGTATCGATACAGGGACAGCAGAAATCGATATTTTGTTACAAAAAAGGTTTTTGTGCTCTGACTTCAGAGCATGTTGATCCTTTTTCTGAGCAAGAATCCTGACATTCCTTCACTGTCCAAATGTGTTTAACTTGTTTTTGGCAGCAATAAACATGAGAGTTTACTTATTTTAATTTAAGACATGTTTTATTTTAATTAAGTTTAAAACTTTTTTATTTAATGTAAAATTATATTTTGTTTTAATTTACTTTCAAATTCTTCAGTTGCTGAAGGGGCTGCATAGTTTTCATAAACTGCATAGTTCAGAATAGCTATAATTGTACCAGATGGTTGCGTTCAGTTAAGTTGGACTAGACTGTAATACAAACCGTTCAGTTTGTCAACAATAAAACTGAAATGAGAGAAAGACTAAGTGTGAGACTTTGATATTAGATAAAATGAATATTGATAAAGTTTACCTTTATGTACAGAATCTGAATATCGCAAAATATTTTAAAAAATTGCAATAATATCGTATTGTGCGTTAAGTATTGTGATAATATCGTATCGTGGGATGTATGGTGATTCCCACCTCTAGAAATTACATGTTGAAAAATGGTGAATGGATGAAATGAGTGGATATTCTGAAAACACAAATGTGACACTCTGTTAAGACAATTAAGAGAACTCAATAAATCCATTTTTCTCAAGTACAAACTTCTCTTTGTTCATATTTATGATCTGTTTTGGTGTTGGGAGGGTCTTTTTTCTCCACACTAACCAAACTGATACATTTTTATGTTTATGTTAGCTATCATTTTTGGCTAGATTAAGTCACAGTTAAAGTTTTTCTGGGTGTAACCACTGCTCCGAAAAGTTGCAGCAAGCCATTTCCTTCCTTCCAGCTTTCGGTAACATTTCACATGGCCTACTTGTCTGTAAATAGTGACCCAAAAATATATAACCGTTTCTCTGCTTCTTGTGGTTCTTCCTCCCACTAATAGTGCAGCGGGTTACAGAAACAATCTTTCAAAAAACAATACAATTTTACATTTTTTGTTTTCATCTGGTGCCATGCCATTTATTCCCATGCATTTCAATGAATTAGATGTATCTGATGCATGAAGACTCCTTTGCCTATGGCTCAGCTCTATCATGCTCACACATCCTGTCATAAAGGTTTTTTTTAGGTAACACAGAGAAACAGATAACCATTTACCATCAAACCAGCAGCCACTTTAGAAACAACGCTTAACCTAACTTCACATGTATGTCTTTCTTTGGAATCTGACCTAGAATCCTCTTGCCGCACAACAGCACTGCCCTTCATTGTTATATTGGCCAACTCGTGTTACGAATATAACTAAGCAATCATAAAAAGACTATTGCAACTTTGGTACCCCTAACCACCTGTGGATGATTTTGCAGCAATGTTCAGTTATCTGCTGCACTATAAAATGTTTTCTGATTGAGATACAATATTCAGGAAGACCTTTTTGTGGTTAATTCTACAACTGGAAGACACTTTATACAATAATAACAATAATAATAAATATATAAAATAATAAACTTTTTTATGAGATATTTCAGTTGCTGTTTGCTACAGATCGAATGACTTGTCAGCTTGATGCAGCCTTGTTACCAATGCTGAAAAAGTTGTTGTTGTTGTTGTTGTTGTTTTTAATTACCTAACTGTTGACCATTAAGTTGAAAACAGTCACCCTCATACTGAATGCTCAATTTCACATAAGGTTTCATTTATATTAATTTGAAATCTATTCTGCCCAGCTGCCCATCATGCAGTTTATTCAGAATTTATTTTTTAGGATTTTATCCTATTTATTATTATTTTTCTTTATTTTCAAATATTTGCTAAATAAACTACACAAATTATTTTATTTAAAATAATTGTTAAAAATGAAAGTAACATGGTTCCACGAGTTAATTTGACTGAATTAATATATTACTTTTATATGTAGATTGTGACAAAATACATAGAACCAAAACATTTTGTGTATTAAAATTTTATGTTTTTAACATATATTTGTAATGTTTGTTTTATATTTACAGTAATAGAATTGCAAATCAGCACTAATATTAGTGTGGTATGTAATGTACTGTTAAAGTTAAAATTTCGCTGGAAAGTGTAATTTGTACAAGATTATTTTAAATTGATGGATGAGACAGTTGTAAAATGCCCTGTCTAAACATTTACGCTCCCTGTAAACAAATGCATTTAAATGGTGTATTTATTGTTTCTGCAGATTTTTCGACCTGCAAAGATTGCAATAGAATGGTAATCCTGATTGCAAGGCCTTTCTTAACTTTGCCATTTTTGTTGTCTCTCTGTGTTTGCCACTTGAAGGCGCTATTTCCACTGCTGTATGTTTCAGAAAACAATAGCGCTGGCTAGTGTAGGATAAGGATACACGGCTTGGTCCTCTCTGGTCTAGACATCACATCATTAGCCAAGTCAGCTAGTCAGCTGTTTATTTTTTTTGACAAAATGTCAACCACGACCGGCGGCGGAGAGTTTGGCAACCCCTTACGAAAGTTCAAGCTCGTCTTTCTGGGCGAACAGAGTGGTAAGATGGACACGAAGTACTTAGAGAAGCGTTAATTTGGTCAGATGAAAGGAAATGTTGGGAGAACTGGCAAGATCAGCTAACTAGCTTTGTGGTGTTAGCTTAAAATTGGACGGTGTGGTACAGTCATGTAGCGTATATTAGTGACCAGTAATGATACGGGACAATCTGTTAATTTTGCAAGGTCAACAAATAATATTAGAGCATGACAAAGATTATTAACCTACCGATTTTTCTCCCCGGTGATGATGTCATTGAATAGCTATCGTTAGCTGGAGATAGATCGCTAAACTAGCTTGTTTTGTGCCTTAAAAGAGGGCAAGAATACGACAAATTATTGTGTCGTAGCAGTTGTATTCAAGATTTATCCACATATTAAAAATTAACTAAATGAGTCAATGGGCATTGTCATTGTTCCTCCCATTAGTTTGTGATGGAGGTTCGTTGTTAGCACGTTACTTCTGCTTGTAGCTAGCAGTTAGTTAGCTCTATTGGGCTAAAACGTCAATGTTGACGCTCGCTTGCGCACTTAAAGACTTACATAGTTGCTCTAAGGCTGTTACAGATCACAGGCTTCAAACAGAAAATCTCAAGAATTAATTTAAACCGTCTGTTTGTCGGTGTAGAGTTGTTTGGCTGTTAGCTTTCTGCTGCAGCATCTTGAACAAGCCACGTCGACCGGTGGTTTCGCACCAGTCGGCCTTTTTCCTTCATTTCCATTATTTTTGCTCTGGTTCGGAGACTGACCCTGACATTGCAAAACGTGGCTTGTTGTTAGTAATGTTTTTGTCGTGTAATTGATACAGTATGGTATTATGAGCCAGCTGTCAGGGGTCGAGTAAATTTCAATTTTCCAGATTTTGTGGCTCCACCCATATTGCCAGCTCAGCGTGTGGGTTCAGTCGTCCACACTGCATCAGTGGTAATAGCAGTTTACTCACCGTGTGATGTCACCGACTCATTTTTCTTCTCTATCTCTTCATTGAATACAGACTTAATTACACAATTATATAATTTTTAAATTTACCATTTGAGTCGTGGTTTTAGGCTTGAATTACCTGGAATACCTCTTGTGTTACTAAAGTGACTGTGTTTTTTCTGTACAGTTGGGAAAACCTCACTCATCACCAGGTTTATGTATGACAGTTTTGACAACACTTACCAGGTAAAAACAAGTTATAACAGTGATTTGTGTAGTCATTTTTGTCTGAAAACTGACATTTTTGCCACAAGCACAGGTGTAATAAAAAACGAGCTAACAGTTTCAATCCGACTGATCATCTAATAACATATGTGACAGTTAAAATAGAATAAAATAGACCAATTTATCATGTCAATAGCTGATACTTGTAAATATTTAGACAAATTTAAATGGGACAATTAAAAAAAATTAACACAAAATAATACTTTATTAATCCCTGAGGAAATTATGGGATCATTTATAGTTTAATTGTATTTGGCATAGGGAACTTGCATTTAGTAATCTGTCTATTCACATTCTTGTAAATATGGTAAATATAGTGTCCATTTTTGCGATCAGCTTGCTAGCTAAGCCCCTGAGGTTTCACCTTCTGTGAAGTGTATAACGAAACATGAATAACGTGTTACTTCAAATTGCCGAAACCATTGTTTCACCAGTCAATCAGAGTAGAATGTTTGCAACACACAAAGGGCTTGCTACAAAAATCACATACCCCGGATGTTAGTAAGCATGCGAGTGCATTCCACTGATTAGATTATGAGCGCTACCTGTGTGACAAGTCTAAATGTCAGTAGAAGTAGTTGTAGTTTATCTTTATTTGGCTCATTTAGAGATCAAATGACAAACTCCAGATATAAGAATCTACATGTAAGGCAAATTAACTAAATCATCAGCCTCAGATTTAAGTACAAAAATCATGACAGAAGGAAAAAGAAAGAAATATCATCTGTTTATGTCAAGTCCAGCTACAGATGAACTCCTATCTAAAGCGTCTTCACACAAAACCGTTATCACAATACTTGATCATTTTGTTCTTTCTGGACATTTTTTAGCCATGTTATGAAAAAGGTCAATAAAATATGTTTTTAACATATAATGTAGGTAACGATTCTTTAAATGTATGTAATACATTTAACTTGCTGGTAACACTGTTTAATTGAAGTGTTTGTTTTACAGGCAACAATTGGCATTGACTTTTTGTCAAAAACTATGTATCTGGAAGATCGTACGGTAAGCCCAGTGTGTTACTGTAGTTTACATCATTCCAACTGGTCAAGTATTAAAACTGCCATAGAAGCATGCTTCTGCTTATTATCACACCATTCCACATTGTTTATAGATTATCCTAGTTTTTTGTTTTGTTTTTTCACTCATTTTGTTGAACATGTGATCGTGTTTT